ATTGTCGAAATATCTAAATATTGAGTTGAAGGTGACAAAAAGTGTTTTCATCTCATGTAGAAGAATATAAAAGTACGTCTGCTAACAAGGGTGGCACCCATGAAAATTCCAACAGCTTGTTGAAATACCCGATCTCCTAAAAAGCAGAAGTTGAAAACAAAAACGCTAGCATCATTTTAATAATAATTTCAGAGTACTTGTTTGCACATACAGAATGTTAATAACGAAACACATTTGCTCATGAACGATGAAAAGGTTAGTAAATTTAGACTGCTGGAAGATCAGGTCTCTAAACACAACATAACATTGTCAATCAGAAACTGAAGCATATACTTAGTTTCGTTTTTAAATGCTAGAACAGCCCCTCCCATGAGTAATTGTTGTCATCATAAAGTACAGGAATACGATAAATTGTTGCTCTACGTTCTTGGGAATTTCAGATTAGATTTCAATGAATTGTTAATGGTCTTATGATTTGCAGAGCATAATCAAAGGATTTAAAAATAGAACTCGAAACTTAAGCTTCAATTTCAACATCTTGTAGTCGCAATACAGTTGCAGGTGCATAAATTTAGAATTGTGCAGAAAGAAAGGGTGAATTATTTGAGTCTGCTGAGTAGCAGATGCAGCTGTTAATTTAAAAAAAAATGAAAATCAAATAGACTTTTATCTCTTATTTATTATCGGTGAAAGTCTGGGGCGGATGTTACCGACATAAACAAGAATGAAATAAGCAACCATTTGCTCCGAGTTTCTTGTAGATTTCTTTAACATATCAAGTTCTTTTACATATATCTATATTACTGATGTTTATGCAGCTGACGTAGGTCAGTCTATGACTCTGACTTGCTCATGACATTGCAGGACAGGGATTAATCTGAACAAGTTAATTTAAAGAAAGTTGAAACCTCCACAATGACAATGTTTTAAACCCTTCTCATGGAATTGTAGTGCTTAAAGTCTTAAGATCGATCAATGTTTGCAATCTTCACCTTTTTCAAGCAAGCATAATCACACAGCTACTTTGTTTATAAACATAATTTTACTGCTGACCACCGTCTTATTTATTTTGAAGTACAGTAAACGTCTTAAGCTTCCTCTTAAAAATTAAAGGTTTATCGTTGTTTCGAATAACAATGTAACTAACATAATTGTAAACTATATCATTCACTGTATTTAACTTTCTGAACATTTTAAATAATGTGAATGTAATTGTAAAGCAGGTACATGTTATTAAATATTAGTTATTTTGCTTAAAAGGAACTGTTACAGTTGTGCCACTATCAGTCTTTATAATGTTTTGATAAAAACTACTACAATTTATTTCGGATATCCATGTACTTTAAACTAAGAGTCCTCAAATTGTTTCCTAAGAAAAGCCAAAATGTAAAATATCAATTGAATCTTTTAGATTAAGACACTTAAAATGTTTCCTTGATAAACAATTTAAAAACTCATTTTCTTCTCTTCTACAAATATTATGAAGAAAATAAATAGAAAAAATGAACTATTAATCGATAAGCACTTTACAGACGAATGAAGGGGGAATCCCTAGAAACTTCATTTTCCTTTTTTCTTCTATATTTCATGAAACGTTTTGATTGAAATTTTTAACATGTTCTAAGGATGACATTCTTCAAAACCACGTATCATTCTACAGTACTTTTTAACTCCAGTTCAGGAAGGTGGGTTTGGTTTAACGATCGACCAATCCTTCCTACACTGGATTCCTTAACGTCTTAAAATTCCTTACAAACAAAACATTGCTGGGTCCAGTAAATGCTCTGTCAAACACATTTCTTTACACATCAAAAATATTTTCCTCTGTAAAAATTTATTGAGTTACAGCATAATCAAGACTAGAAAGGGATGAAGATAACGGACGGTGACAGATCTAATAAAAAAAACTACAAACAATAAAGTTTATATGAAATAAATGGAAATAACAAACAGAATGTAAGCTCAAAAGTCTTTTTTAAAAAAATTCAAATCTTGGGCAGAGCAAACAGGGATCTCTAAAGTATAGGGATTATGTGCCGTGGATTATAATCAAGAAGTTTTTATCACCGGTAGAATTTAAGCCAAACAATTGTTTATACTATCTTCTATTTGTTCGAAGTGTTCACGAAAAAGGATTGATTGATTTCTGACAGATAATGATGTACTTGAAAATAATAATAGTATTGGTACAGGGTTACTGAAAAAAAGACTAACAGTGCTTCAATTGTGAAACAATTAAAATGCTTCATACACAGATAAGACGTGTACTTTTACATTCATACTGCGGGTGTGAACGGCCGGCAGGGAATGTTTATCCCTCCGTGGTACCTGATCCCACATCTGATGTTTTGCTGTGTTTCAATTTTGTTTTATTTAACTGACTTTTGAGCTTGAATACTGTTAGTTATTTGTGGTTAGATAGTCTGCTCTAGAGTTGCGGAGTTAAAGAGTTTCGAAGTAAGGAGTTGATCCTTACGAGGTTCCGTGTTGCAGTAGGTGCTGGCACGAAAAAGATCCCTCCCTGCTCAATGACCCTGAGTGCCGAGTATAGGACAAAATTTGCAGCTCTTCACCGGCAATTGGTTGCGTCTTCATATTAGTGAAAAATTCTCGAGAGGGACGTTAAACAATATTCCATCAATCAATCAACTGTTCGTTATTTTCATATGTTTCATTCAAGTGATGAAATATGGAATGTTACCTGTGTTTTTTTACAATGTAGATGGATAATGATAGCTTATTGTACTCCAAGTGATGAAAATGTATGAGTTTTTAATTCAAAATAAGACTTTAGTACACGTGTATTATTTTTCACATTTTCAATTTAGTATTTGCGTATAAGATTACTTTGAAAAAAATGTCTATAATGGTAACAATGGAATTTTATGTCAACAATAAAGAGTAGACAGTACAATACAGTTTCTTAAATTGAACTTTATCAGAAGGAAAGATTTATCAAATATATGATAGGTCCTCTTCTAAAAAAATATATTGAAAATATGTTTTTGTTAAGTACAGCGATTTCATGAAATGGGCTTTCCACTTCTGACACTAAGAACTGTGTTTTAAAACTTCCTCTAATTAGCTCAAAACACTGCTACATTTCGTCGAAAAGTACTCACTTTACCTTGAAGTAGCGCTGAACTGTTTTTGACAGTATTTAACATATAATTATTTTGTTAGATATCACTAAACATTTCTGAATTTTAATTTGTTACAGCCTCGGGCTGAAAATTATTTTTTCTTTTTTCCTAAGAGTTGCTTATTTGATTTGATTAGAAGAAGAGCAAGATGAAAAAACAGTTATCGTTATATTATCAGCGAAACATTTTCTTCAATATTTTAAAAATTTTTACAATATATTTTATGTCGGATTTAAAAATTATTGATGATACATGTTGTATTTTTATAAACGTATTTTTCAGGTGACAACCTATCAGAAAACAGAATGTTTTAACACACGTTTTGGGGTGTGCTATGTAAAAAGAAAATATATTAATATATTTGTTTTTCTGTTTATCAAAGTAAATTTATGTATATAGAGAAACAGTAAAATCAATTTCATGTAAATTCATAAAAAAAATTTGTGTGAACACGTCATTTAAATGTATTACTTTAAAATCAAGTTAGATAATATTAATTTGATTTGGAATTATATGCTTGTTTTCAGTTCATGACAAAAATTTGAATTATAAAGACTGAGTTTGATATCTTTTCTTATACACTTGTAAAACCCTGGATGAAGGATATGGAGACAACGAACAACATTCAGTATCAAAGGCCATAAAACGATACAAAATAGGAACAGAGCAAACACGGACTTTCAAAACATCAGAGGTGCCATGGAGGAGTGAGCTTCCCCTGCCGACCGGTCACACCCACAGGCAGTCTGCTCCTTGTCATGATCAGGAAATAATGTAGAAATTTGTCGTCAATTCGTTGTATAAATAATGGACTAACAATTAGTATAAAAAAGGTTAGTCAACATTTGACTCAATGATAAATTGTATTTGCAGACGAGGTTATTGAATCGACGATAGAACTTACGAAATGATGACTATACGAGACTACTGATATTCTTGCTTCATCAACTTGTTTGTCAATAATTTACCTCGTTTCGGATTTTTTCATACGTAGAGCATGCTTTTGAGTTTCGAATCAACTGAGATGTATAAACATCGTATGCAGGTGATGAAGGTAAATTGCTGCATAAGTAAGGGAAGTTATGGATATGAATATTATGAACCTTAACATTATATAGGGCCTATATGTGAACTTCATATATACCTATATTGAAACATATGGAGAAAACGAACAGTATTCAAAATCAAAAGTCCATAAAAAATACAAAATAAGATTAGAGCAAACACAGACCTCTAAAACACTGAAGGTGGGTTTAGGTGCCATGGAGGAGTGAGAATCCCCCGTGTGCTCCTTGTCATGATCGAGAAATAACGGAAAGACAGCCAATTCAGTGTATAAAAAATGGATTAATAATCAGTATGAAAAACGTAAGTCAGCATTTGACTCAATAACAAACTGTATTCATATGAGATCTTAGATAAAAGAATTGAAATTATAAGATTCGGGGGGTAATTTTGATTTTAGCGTTCATTGTTAGGCTCACTCCCCCATGGCACCTGATCCCACCTCTGATTGTTTGCTCTACTACTATTTTAATGGACTTTTGTGCTCAAAAGTGTTTGTTATATCTGCATAAGTATTCAAATAAACACACTTTATATACAAAAAAGAAATCAACTTCAATATATCTCCATTATCACAAAATATTAAAATGTTCTGTAGAAAAATTAAAAAAAATTATAAATGCGCATATACATAATGTGTTTACATGCACATTTCACTTGGCGGTGCACACACAAAAGGACAGTGTATTACAAAGTTAAAACAGAACTGTTTTAAAAATGGGCCAAGGTCGATGAAAGATCTAACATTATTTAAAAAGCTAAAAAAAAATTGTATGACATTCCTGCGTGTCAGTCATCCATGTGAATTTGACCAACGGTCTCTCGTTACATTTTATAACAAAACCGAGTAACCTCAAAAGGGAATTCATAAATCTATTTATAGTATTTAAAAACATCAACTATTTAAAAACGTCCTGTTGTCGATTTAAACAGACACAAAACAAAGACTTTGCACGGAGAGAACGGAATTAAGTTTGGAAAGGTTTTACAGCTTTATCGATGCTGATAAAGACTTACTCGAGGAAATCTATCTTTTCTTGGGACTACAAGGTTGAGAAATGCCCCTGTAGGAGAATTTGGAATGCGGAGGACATGAAAAAATTGGTCCAGATTGGACTGGTAGGGCCAGCATCTCATATAAGGGTTCACAGACCCCGGACGCTACATTTTTTGTGGTGGAAATTTGACTACAGCTACAACCACCACTACATGGTGGTGTCTGCTACCACGGAATCACTGACAATCATACACTACGCTCCCAAGAAGATTTCTAGAATTCTTTTATTTCAGGGTGTGGCTGAAATCAAAGAGGAGACGGTGAAAATTGAAAACAACACCGACACGTTGGATTTTAAATCTGGAGTTTATCTTATCATGAAGGACAAGTACCCCAAAACCCTCAGACAAAGGAGTTACTGTGTAAAGAAGGCCAGGCGTAGACTGGGGGAGAGGCAATACTCTGTGTTCCACAATAACTGTGACAGTTTCGTGTCGTGGACTCTCCGGGGCAAGTCAATCTCTATCCAGGCCATGGAGGCCACGGGACTTCTATTGTTTATCGGCCTACTGGCCAGGACTTCTATCAGGATCTATCGGCTTTTTAAGTCTGTTATAGACGGGGTAAATGACTTTATAGATTCTTATGGATAACATCAATGTAACAATTTATGATATTTATTTTTCTATGTATTGTATTTTTAACTGATTTTGCTTTTATTAAATTAATTTATTTGATTGATGCATTATGTTTAATGCCCGTTCTAACGTGTATTAAATTAAGGCACATTTCAGTGCACAAATGTTTATTAACACAGATGTATTAAGTTGCACTTTAAATGGGTGTAAACATCAAGAATAAAGTCTCAAAATTTTGTAATTCTATATGTTATTCATTTTTTAAAATTTCCTCTTCAGTGTTTTAAAGGGTTTTTCTATCTCTATATATGAGAAAATGATAAAATTAAGATATAAAATCACAATATTATTTTTCAATTATTTTTCTCAATATTTATCAAAAACTCTTTAAAACATGATGGGATAGTAATGTTTAATCTTGTGCGTTTTCATGTAATAAAGAACAAACTGAAATGTGTGAAAAAAATGCCAACTGTGGTGTGAGATGATAAATTCACACCTGCAATAATTACATCACAACGATGCGAGACCATTATCATTCATCACTGAAGGCATGATAAATTGTTTGCAAATTGAATTTCTCTAGTGTTTAAGGAGAGTACATGTATGTAAGCGAGATTTATTACCGCACTGAACATAAACGTTTATATTTTATAGCTACTAATTAGAATATCTACTTAATTTATATAATGCATTGTCAGTATTGTTTGATGGGGTGGCAGCAATTCCCAAATAGTGTATATTTAATTACTTTAGAATTCATTTCGTCTCAACTGTTTTACCAATCTTGAAAAATATAAGCAATAATCCGGCCTTTTGTAAATATATGAATCTAACGTTTTTAATAATCAATGTGTTATCAACTAATAAAAGTACAGAATGGACAAGGTCATAAAAATTTCACGTCCAATACCCTATTTAAATTGTAACTTCTTTTTCTCCAAAAATAAAACAGAACCACCATAACAAATGGCGTTAAATTGAAAATGTAGTATGACAGTCACTAATAATAAATACTGAAAAAATTATGTTTCAGTTTGCAAGCATGAAATGCATTCGTGGTTATGCAAAACTTGCAATGTCATAAATTAGGTATTCATGCAAAAGCAAATATCATTGAACCTTGCACTTTTATATCAAGACGCAGACGTTCTTACTAAGTGAAAAAGAAAATGAAAAAAAAGTGTGCTAAACGTTGCTTTAAGTTTCTTTTGGAATTTATTTAACGTCCAGGTTATTCAATACACGAGGGAATGTTCTATGAACAGATAAAACAGAACGAGGAAGGAAAGAGAGAAATCAAGTGGTAATGCAAGAATGTAAACAAAATTGTTTTCACTTATCATTGAATGCTGGAATACTGCTCCTTATCTCCATTTACGTTATACATAATTGACATGCTTTCCTCCGATGCGTCTGATGAAACTTTTGAAAAATTTAATTGTTTTAATTGAATTAAAGTCATTATCTTTACATACCCATATGAAGGTAACAAATGATCACTTTTTACATTTAAAAAGTCTTTTGAAAAAACAAAAATCAGGAATGAGAAAACACGGACCTCTTAGACAGCAGAGGGAGAGGGACAGATAACGCGGATGAATCCCCACCTACCGGGCACATCTGCCGAGTACCCGACGCTATGACCGGGCTAAAGAATCCCAAGACATTATCAGGAAGCAAACATGAATCACATAATTGCCTTGAGAGACTTCAGTCCGCACTGGACTCCGTGATATAACGAACTTGACGACAAGATCATTGAATCGATCATAGACCTTGCCATGACTCAACATGTAATTTCCTTGTCTCATCATCTGATATCTCAGAAGCCTTCTCCGTTTCAGAAGCTGTTTTGCAGTGCACTGCCACCATACATTGGATCGACAAATTGGATTGGACAAAATATAAAAAAAATAGGCGACAAGGGCACTTTGCTACGCAATGGAGGGCCATTGGCAAAAGAAAAATTGAAATCACCATGCGTCTTGTTGTCAGACAACCATTAATGGATCTCTAGTAAAAGCTTAATAAATTATGAAAAAATACATCGGGATTGATAGCATCTCTTTTTTAAAGCTCATTGGTACATATCAAGCCAACATATGAATTGAAAGAACTCTATCAATCGTAAAACGATATCGATAAATTTCATACAATAGGAAGATAACGCATAATATCATGTCTTGAAGCCCATTAAACAGCACAAAATGGGAGATAAACAAATATGAACCCACAAGTATATCAGAGGCGTGAAATGCAAAAAGAAATATTTATAAAGTGAACAAAATTTAAAAACTAATAGATCTTGGTATAAGTTACAGATCTGTTAACAATGTAGGTATAGCGTCCTCCATAAGCGTATGAAGTCATCATTTCGTAATTCTATGGTTGATATAATGACCTTGTCACAAAAACTATATTGAGTCAAATGCTGACTGTCGTTTTTCATGCTAAGTGTTAGGTTCTTAAAAATACACCGAATTAAGGATGGATTTTCCCCTTGTTTCACGATCATGATAACGAGGCAGGTGGGACCAGTCGGCACGGGATGCTAATTCCTCCATCGCACCCGATCCAAATTTAGATGTTTTGGAGGCCCGAGCTTGCTCTACTCCTACTTAATAATGTCTAATGGAGATTTCAATTTGAATATTGCACATTATGTTCACCATTCTCCACAATAAATTAAAGTCCATGCTTTTTCATATCACCGACAGCTGCTTCTTCTAACCTCGTCATTGGTCATTTGCGAAATTATTTTCTTTTACATTCTGATTGAACACACATGTACTCTGAAGTTGCCATCAAAAAGAGGCTTGAGTTGAGGACAGCAGAGGTAACTATGATTAATGAGTGGAGGATCTAGGATTCTGATCGCCACCTCTAAAATTAATAAATGACAATATCTATATGTTTTTTTATAGACCAGGAATTCCAACAATTTATAGGAATTCCCGTGGGTACTGATTGCACCCTCATATTAGCATTCCTTTTATGTATTCATATGAAGCAGAATTTGTACAAAAATTCTTATGCATGAAAAAAAGAACACTTGCTGTGGCCTTTAACTCAATATTTAGATATATCGACGACGTTGTCAATTAACAATGGTATGATAATTTCCATTCTTTTGTCGATACGATATATCACGGTGAGCTTGGAATAAAACATACAACAGAGTCTCATTCATCTGTTTCAAATTTAGATTTTTTACTTGAAAAGACGTAGTATAATAGTAATCTGTCAACCAAGCTCTTTGATAAACGTGATGACTTTAACACTACAATCGTCAGCTCCCCTTACTTATGTTTATGCAGCGATATACCTCCATCAACTGTATACGGATTTTATATATCTCAGTTGATTCGAAACACAAGAACATTTTCTAAAACGTGGTAAATCATTAACAAACAAGATGATGAAACAAGAATATCAGCAGTCATCAGTTATGTGGTCGTATCAATGACCTTGTCGGCAAATACAATTGATCATTGAGTCAAATGCTGAATGACGTTTTTCATACTAATTGTTAAGCCATTATTTATACACTGAACTGACGACGGATTTTTCCCTTATTTCCAGACCATAACAATGAGCACACGGCCGTTGTGACCGGTCGACAGGGGATGCTTACTTCTCCATGGCACATGATCCCACGTCTAATATTTATGAGGTCCGTGTTTGCGCTGCTCCTATATTATATAATTTTATGGATTTTTGATCTTGAATACTGTTCGTTATCTCAGTATGTTTAATAAAGAATGATGAATGCTGCCTTAACTGCCCTTAAATATCTCAATATTTCTGCAATTTTATTAAGTACGTTATAGTCTGTAATTATTGTCTGTTTAATCGTCTTACTCATTTACATGTGAATGCCATCTCTCCCATATTATTTTCCTAAAGACAAATAGAAAAACCGTCCATGTGACGACATTACATAAGCCGGTGAACACAGCAATGCATCACAAACTCCCATTCATACCATTACCTGTATTATGATTTACTAAACACTTTAACCACATCATACTCCTCAAGAAAATGTAGTTGTTGTATATTTAAGTACATGTAGATCATTTTGAAGCTGTACTATTTTCATTATCAAGCGATTACTTCCCAAAATGAAATGCAAAAGGTTAAGATAGCGAGAAGTAATAGCGAAAATCTATCAAGAATACAAACACACAAAGAGGGCATAAAAGACGGAAATTCCAGAGGCTGGAGCATGGATCAGGTGCTTTGGAGGAGTTAGCATCCTCTGATTGGTCACAACCGCTGTGAGTTCTATCTACTGATCCGGTTGATTGAAGTTTCAGGAGTTAAATTCACTATTAAAACATAGACTTTACAATTGATTTGAAACACGTAAAAAATACCAAATGTTAAACTGATTTTGACAATGTAATGTTCCTTCTAGTTGATTTATACATAGGGTTCTGTGTCTTTTGTGAGCTGACCTCACCTATGGAATTTCTGTGAGTTTGTGCTTCTGCCCTTTTCACACAAATGTATTTTTCGTAGTCCTTTGAGATAGATCGTGCTCGTTAACTTTACCTTTTTATTCGAATGAAATTTTTTGTGGAAATAACATTTTAAATTCTGTTTTTGTACCAAGAAAATAATAATGATAACATATAACAGAAGTTTGAAAATGTTTTGCATCTGCTGCTTCATTATCTAACTAGAATGATATATATGGAGATTACGAATAGTATTCAAGATCAAAAGTCCAATAAATATCAGAGCGAAAACGGACCTCTGAAACATTTCAGAATGTGGGATCACCCGGATCAGGTGGAGAAAAAAAGTTAATTTGTGCAACAAGCATTGTTACTTTTAGGTTAATACTTATTTTTTGTCGGATCCACCGTCTTCTCTAAATTAAGAATTGCTAATTTAAATAAGATTTCTGTATATTTTCTTTGGAGTCTTCTGATGGAATAGTGTACGAACACAAGGCTCTGTTATACTGCTGTTCTTGTGAACATGAATGAAATGTTAAAGTATTATTTAGTCTACAAAAGATTACGTTTTTTGCAAATAAAGCAGAGTTCTGTAGAGGAAGTAAGTGTTTTTTTCTTGTTCCTCTTTAAACATGGAAACTACTACTTAGGGTGACATTTCTCTACCGGTATAACACAACTCCTTCATAGCTTAACGAAGCTGTGTTTACATCCTGAATAAATAAAAAAATCAATATCAAAGGCATTATATTCAGTACAGACTTAGATGGGATTT